CACATCCCCTCCCAACCCCCATCACCAACCCCCCCACCAACACCCCAAGAAACACTCTCAACCCCACAAACAACAAGAAATTACATCTCTCCCTCACCCTCCGACCAGGAGAAGAAGAAGAAGAGGACCAAAAAAGGGATGAGGAACGAGGGGGGAGGATCATTTCGTTGCGGGAGTTCTGGGATTTCGATTTGTGGAGATGGGAGACCTCGAAGCTGTGTATGTGATGAGACGAGGTGGGGAGTGGTTGGGAGGAGGGAATCAATGGGGGGTATTTAGAAGGGTGGTTACGATCTAGGGATGTTTATGGGAGAGGAAATGGTGGGTATCGTGCTTTCCTTTAGAAAGCTGGGTCGTGGTTTCCTTCCTTCGTGCTTGATATTGCAACCTCACTTGAGCGCCTTATGTAAAGAGTGTCAAATCGGATATAGGAATCGCAACAATAGATACAGAGAAAGTAAGGAGAAGAAAATGCACGACCCAGTGGCAAACAGCCCATTGAAACGCAAAATATCAGTCCCAAATCACACATTTCAATTTCTACATATACCTACCTACCTATCCTCCGACCTACCAATCTACCTCCCAAATTAGAGCAAATCTAAGCCTTATACAATGTATCCAGGAACCCACTCGCCAACTCAACAACCACACTCTTATTAGGCAAGCTCCCCGCTACCCCATAAAGCGCAGCACTATCCCCCAAACTCTTCCCCTTCGCTCCCTTGCCCTCCACAATCCTCACACGTTCCTTCTCCTTCTCGCCCTCCACCACCGCTTCCAAATCAGATATCAGCTTCTCCCACACTTTGACTATGGGCAAAGTGACAGCGACATGGATAGCAGGTGGATCCTGGAGAGAATTGAGATGCCATCCCTTACCAGACATGGCGTCTGCGATATCATAAATATCGAGGGTTTTGGATGTGAATGCAATAACCGAGACAAGGGGTTTGCCTAGGATCTCAAGGTCGTTGGAGAGAGCTGGATTGGTGGAGATGGCTTCACTGATCTTTTTGGCAGCTCCTACGATTTGGTTGCATGAATCAATGTAACCAGTTTCACCAACGCTCATAAGACTTGCCCAACATCCAGCAATTAAAGCTCCTGGTCTTGATCCAGCGATGGAAGGAGAAGCGTAAACTCCTCCGGACCAATCAGGAGAGATAAAGTACTGGTATTGACGTAATGCTGAAGTACGGTAAAGAACTGTACTGTTTCCTTTTGGCGCAAATCCGTACTTGTGGGTGTCGCAGCTTATACTGGTGACTCCCTTTAAGCGGAAATCAAAGAGCTCAGTTTCGAAACCAGCCTTTTCTAGGAATGGAACGAGGAAAGAACCAAGACAGCAGTCAACATGTAGTGGAATCTTCTTCTTGAGTGCTAACTTGGAAAGAGCCGAAATATCATCAATAATTCCGTGGGGAAAGTTTGGTGATGAACCGACGAGAAGAACGGTGTTGCTGTTTATGAGACGTGATACTGAAGGAATATGAACTTGGTAGCTTGGAGCTGGACAAGCAACGAGATGGATTTTGATGCCAAAGTATTCCCCAGCCTTTCTGAATGCGGTATGGCCAGTTTCTGGGAGAATCCTACGTACTTGTCAGTTTAGACATGCGGCGCAGCTTCGTCAAACCTACATTTCTGGCTCCGTGACACCCCTTTCCGCATATGCCTTGTTTCTTGCACTCAAGCAAGCCATCAAGATGGATTCAGTACCACCACTTGTAGAAGCTCCAGCAGCCCCCACAGGCGCGTTGAACATTGCTAAAACCATCGCGACAACTTCAGCCTCCATCTTCCTCACTCCCGGGAAGACATCCGGATGGATTGGGTTTGCTACGGTAAATTTCCCAAAGGCCTCCGTTTGCAACTTGATGAGATTATCTCCTCCGTGGTACACGGCGCCAGATACGTATCCGTCCTCCCATCGGGTATGGTCCATGTTGGCAAGAGCCTCCAATTCCTTCAAGACCGTCTCATCCGACCATCCTTCCTTCGGTAAGGTCAAGTAACGCACCACGTCCGGACCGGTAGGAACCAGCTTGTCTTGCAGCTTCGTGATGGCTTCGCTGACCTGCTTCTGCACCTGCGACCGCACCCCCGGCGCGCGCAGAAAGAGTCCATAGAGGGTTCGTCGAATGGAGATATATGCGTCTGCGAAGGTGCCAAAGAGACCTCGTCCTTTCAGCTTTAATAGACTCTTTCTCGTCCATCGTAGGAGGAAGAGGAAGAAAATGATGTTGCGGAATCTGGAGAGAGCTTCAGTTAGAATCTGGGTGAGCTGGAAGAGGGAGTGGGGAGCAGGACTACTCACAAGTCAATGTTCAGTGCAAGCCATTGGCTGCTAGATCCGCCCTTCTTGATGGCGAAGGAATTGCGCAAACTAACTGGCATTCGCGAACTGCCTGGCATGATGGGCAGCGTGGTCGAGAGTTGGTGGAATGGAGGTCAAGGAGTCATTCCTCCAAGTTGGTGTTGGACGAAATTGTGATATGATAGCCGGAGCTGCTAGCATATGATACAGTACCTATCCCAGGTATCCTAGACCATCACCTGTCTGGACATTGGCAATCAGGGCAGGTGCGAATGCCGAGGTGCACTTCCACATGGGGTTAACCGTCGCCGCTCTCCCATTCTGATTTGGACACCGCATCCGAATACCTTCAATAATAATTCCCACATCCGGACTCATAGCGACCATTCTGCGTAGATTTCCTTCGATGATGAGAACAGGTGCAAGTAGCGGTCATCGCTACTTAGTACTTTCGCTGGGCAGCGCGATGCAGCCGTGTGAAGGATCCCCCTTCTCCACCGACCTGCATATGCCGTGCATTTCTTTCACGAATATCAACTCCGCAACATTTCTCTCTCTACCACCACGTCAATACTTTTCCGGATGACTTCAAGGATGTTTGTGGAGTTAGAGTCTTTTTCTCCGGCAATCCGTCCGAAGGATTTCTTCTTGACGTTGTAAGGCTCCTGGGTTGACAACGATCCGGAGGAGGGGCTTGCAACCTCTCCCCTTTCTCACCAATACCAGATCACCAAAAACAAGTTTTTATAGAAGAGTGTACATCGTAAACTTGGACCCCAATTCTATCAATATGTACCTAGGCTCGGTATGCATTCATGCTGTATATGTCTCGACAGCATTTGTCGTTTTGCTAGAGTAGATACCTAGGTAAGACTGGTCTGCATTTTTGAGCCCGCTTTCACTGGAACTCTTGGGTTTGTATTTCTTTCTCTTTCCATTCCACTTGTTTCAACCCGAGGATATAAATGGCTAGTCAAAGCAGATAACTTTGGCATGTATGGAAGTTACCGTGCTCAGCGCAGAAACAATTGGAACCAACGTTGTTCCATTGCACCTTCCCAGGAATTTCGGCGTGGTATTCAAGGCTTAGACCCGTGAATTGTTTGTGTAACTTGAGCCACCCTTATAGGAAATTGGTAGGCCAGGTGTAGTCTCTACAGAAGGTTAGACGAGCGTTAAAGTGGTTTAATAATAGGGGTAGCAAGAGTACTAGAGAGATAATCACGTGCGCGTTTAAGAGCTAAGGACTTTTAAGAGTTAAGTCTCGGTTTAAGGGTTAATTTTTTTTCTTAAGTCTTAAGCGACTAATTAGAGAGTTAAAAACACGTAGTCTTAAGAGGTTTTACTATCCTAGTAGTATTCTCGAGAAAGGGTTAGTATATAATTAAATATTATTTCAGAAATAAAACCTTTTTAATTTATATAGAATTTAAACGCTAATACTCCTAGGTATTAGTAACTTTTTAACCCTTAAATGACTTTTAAATCTTAAATAATTAATACCTAAGCCTTTTCGCTAAGCTTTATTAACTATAAGAGTTATTCGAGAATTAAAAAAGTATTGTAAAAACTTAAAAGAATTAAAGAATTTTATATAAGTATAAAAGTTATATAAGTATTTACTTTAAGCTATATAAAGCTAAATATAGTTATATTATATCTTATATTTATATAATAACTACATATTACTATATATATATATAAATATAAGTTTTAAAATTATATAATTTAACTAAAGTTTATAAGTATATATTATAAGTAGTATTATTATAATAGTTATATATATACTAGTAGTATATATATTACCTAGTTTTATTTCTAATCTTAGGAAACTACTTTATATAAACTATATATATATAGTAGTAAGTATATTAACCCTCGAGTATTTAGTAAATTAACCTCTTCTTCTCTTATTTAATTCTATGGGAAATTTACTACCTTATAATCTCTAGTAAATATAGTTCTTATTTAGGAAAGTAGATTTTTTTTTTAAACTAGTAGTAGAGTAATAAAACTTTTTATTTCTATATATACTTTAACCTTAACTTTAAAGCTATTTCTATTTATTATATATCTTATTCTTATATAATATAATAAATCTACTAGACTCTTCTATATTATAATTATATCGAATTAGAGAAGAAAATACCGAATTATAAACTTAACTTAATTATTATGCTTTTATAAAAGCTTAATAATTAAACGAGAGTTTTTATTAATAAGTTCTAGTTTTATAAAGTGTTATATAATAGGTTATAAGGGGTACTTTACTTCCTTTATAGTAGAGATCTTTTAGGTATTAGCCGAGGGATATAAGAATCTCTACTACTGAGTTCCTAGAGGGAGAGGGTTCTATTCGGTTAGGGTTATCCTATAAAGACTCCCTACTTGCCCCTTAGCTACCTTCCTACCTTATACTTATCCTATTCTATACTATGTTCTATTCGTCTTCTAATATATAAGCTATTATAGGAGAACAACGTATATATAGAAGGTTTAATATAGTATTTAATAAGGTCGATAGAGGAGAGAGAAGGAGTCTTCTCGGGCTCCGCTATAAAGGAGAAAAGGGGCCCTCTTAGTAAGGCTTAGTAAGTACTAGCGTAGCTAGTATTATACTCTAGGGGCTAACCCCTTATATTATTTTCCTCCCCCTATAAAAAATATATTAGAATTCGTTTTTTAGGTAATAACCTAAATATATCTATACTTTTAGGTCGACTTTACTTTTAGGTCGACTTTACTTTTAGGTCGACTTTACTTTTAGGTCGACTTTACTTTTAGGTTAACTTTACCTCTACGTTATTTTTTATCTTAGCCCTTAGCCGCTAGTTATATAGCCGATTTTCCCCCCGCCCCCGACCCGACCCCCCCTTACCCCGGTTACCCCTAGCTAATTATAGCCTACTACCCTAAACGGCTATCTAGCGTCTAAGGGAAAATAGGGATTATTTAAGTAATAGGCTCTAATTTATATACTAGGTAGGGTTAATATATAGCCCTTATTCATATACGATAGTTTATATTTATAATAATACCGATTATCGCGATTTTAAGTATAAATTAAAGCTCTTTAATTAATATATCTAATAAGAGGGACCGTATATTAATAGCGTATAAGTTAGTCCTAATATACGCTTATAAAGTAGGTATGATATATAGGTTATATACTGCTCGGTAAGGCTTAAATATACGTTTATAGTAATACTAAAACTCGACTATATCGTATAATAAACACTTTATAATGGTAGAATACGCGCCGGTTATGTTTAGTTTATAGATATATATTATATAGAGTTAATTAAGCGCTTTCTTTTAAGCTTGTATAGAAGTCGGTATAATAAAAACTAGCCCTAATATACCTGTTTTTAGGTAGGTAGGTACGTAAGTAAAAGCCTTAGTACTTTTATTCTTACTTTATATATATTTACCTAAGACTAAATACTTTAAAATAATTTAATAATCTACGGTTATATTCAGCTCGCGGATTAGGATTTTATAAAGCTAATTAAAGGCTTTCTTCTAAGCTTATATACGTCTTTATAAGTGTAAAATTAGCCCTAATATACCTGTTTTTAAGGGGGTAAAATCACGTTTATTACTTAGTTAAAAAGAGATTTTTACTCTTTATTAACTATTCTACTAATCTACGTTCTATTATTATAAGCTCTAGTTACTTTATAAAGAGTACTTTATTCTATACATGTAACGAATACTCAAACTGGCTAACTAAACTTGGCTGGGTGTTCGCTGGTTGGTATGCTATGATAAGAAGAAGACTATCGGGTTGTTCACTTGGAAGTGAACTCGTTACTTGTATCAAAGATGTCAAACTAATATGATAAGATTGATAACTAAGTTGAGCACGAAGCTCCTATCTAATGGCAGACGTGCCAGTATTATATAGAACCCTCGTTCCCATGGTCGCCATGGTCGAACAGTCGCCCATGGTCGACGCGGTCGACCGTGTCGGCCATGTCGCTGGTCACGTGATTCCAACCCAAGGAAATCCCTGGATCGCTTAGCTAGCCCAAACGATCCCTTATTTGCTATAAGTCTATAGATGTGCTTGACCTGTCAGGACGCCGCCTGGTCTTCACTTATCACGTGTGCACGTGATTTGTGACAATACATCCTAGGTTAGCATATTTTAATAAGTAGTATAGTTAAAAAATAGAAATAAAAGAGTTGTAAGCTAAAATCTATTAAAAGAAAGTAAAAATAGCTACTTTTAGCTTTAACAGGATACTTTACTATATTAGTAGGGGTGTACCCCCTTAAAAATAATACTATATAAAACCTTAATGTCGAAAGTACTATACCTAGAAGACTAGAAGTATATAGCTCTTATATTAGTAACGTACTAGAGCTTTAGATTCTTTATTAAAAAGTTAATTTAGAGCCTATAGCCTAAATAATTACTATTTTCCCTTAGACCCTTAAATAAAGGCTAGTCGTAGTAGTAGGTAGCTTGGTAGCTTTATACGCGGGCCAGGGATCGGCTATAAGCCTAAGTAGTTAGAGTAGAAGTAGGTAAATCACGTAGGGAAGAGGCTACTGCTTAAAGCCTTTATAAGAAGGGACTAGGTACTAAGATAAGTTATTTTATAAGTAACTACCTAAGACTAATATATACCTTCCCGAGAATTGTTTATAGAAAACTATAGTATAAAACCTTTCTTTATTCTTTATTCTTCTCTTTTTCTTCTATCGAATAATACTAATACTAATAATAATACTAATAATAATACTAATAATAATACTAATAATAATACTAATAATAATACTAATACTAATAATAATACTAATACTAATAATAATACTAATACTAATAATAATACTAATAATAATACTAATACTAATAATAATACTAATAATAATACTAATAATAATAATATTTCTTTTATCTACTACTCTTTATATATTTTAAATAACTTAGATTCTCGCTATTTATTATTAGTTTTTTACTCTAGTAGAAGGTTTTAACTTACTTAATATAAGAGATCTATATAAAATATAAGGTAAATATTACTAAAAATCTTTAATAAATAAATAAAAACTAATAATAATACTTTTTTAACTATAAATTTTATATACT